AGAAGAGAGGCTGAGCTTCATTATTCAAATGTGTCAAGTGATTTTTTTTCCAACAAATGGGTTCTCATACAACGCTTCTGCAGATTTTAATATACTGACATATGAAAACAGCAACTTCAGTTCACTGGAAACAGTTTTCTTTTTAATTTTACCATAAAAAGGCAAAATAAACTCTCTCACTGTAATGTTATAGCTTTTAATATTCCTGAGTTGCATTTTAGAAGCAAAAGGATTCTTAAATGGATTTAACAAGAGACACTGCAGCCTTACTTTCCAACACCACAAGTAAAAATAATTTAGCAAGAAGGCCCCTTTTTCAAAAGACAATGGCTAGCTCTGTATGTACCTGAAAAAATGCTTCAAGTGGCGCTATGCCACCTGAAGTAATTACAAAGCCAAATATGTCAGAAAAATAACAGAACTTTTCAACAATTTTACCACTGCTTCTTACTTCCTACATCAATGTGCCTCTCTTACATGGAAAGTATTATTATACAAACGGCATTACATGCCAGCATAATTTGGGCACCATACAGACATATGAAGGAATCATAGCAGTTTAGAAGATATCCTGCGTATCTTTATAGTCAGTTTCAAGAACTATATGAAAGTCCTGCTATCCATCTCAATCAGCAAAAACTCTACTTTGTTAGGTGATTTCATTGAATGCACCAGAAAGCATTTTAAATCAAATGTGTATGTAATAGCTTGTCGTGTCTGGAGTTCCTATAACTGGCACCGTGTACTTCTCAAGCCAAATTAGGTGATACAGAGATAAGAACTGAATCAACTGAAATTAAGGTTTAGAAAACTGAAAACCAAGAAAACAGGTTGGCTTTTAGCACTGTAGGAACTTGAGCACAAGCACAGCTGGTTATACCTACATTGTGGTAGAAACCTAGAAAGAGACAACAAAGCACGAAGGAACATCAAAAAAATCAGGCATCTATTTTCTTGATTTCAGGGACTAGATGCAAGTTAAGCATTGGTTGGAACAAACGTGTTTTCTATAGCAGTCACACCGATGAGGTCTCATTTACAACTTTCTGGCCCTTTTGTCCAACCACAGCCTTTCCAAGGAGCCAAGGCCTCCACTACCCACTCCAGGTACTCCTTTGCTTACTCAGTGATCAACTCCGGTGCCTTCGCCTCCTGCTCACGCTTCTGCGACTACGACTTCTTTCTCTTCTGTCTCGTTTACGTTCACTACTGCGAGTTCTTCTGTAACGTGAACGTCTGGGGCTTACACTTCTTCGACGAGGACTATGGCTTCGTCGAGGACTGTAACTTCTGCTAGAGTGTCTATAATACCTCCTTTCTTTCCTGCGCTTTTCATCCTGATAACTCACATCTCTTCTGTGTCTGCTCCTCTCTCGTTTACCCTTACTCTCATCGGTGTTTATGCTGCTACATGAACGGCTCTTTCTTCTCCTTGGCTCTGTGCTACGTTTGCCCTGCTCACAGCGTGAGTCCTTCCGGCAGGTATTCTGGTCATAGCTAGAGAGGCTCTTCTGCTGCTGGTTATTGGCGGGAACACATGAAAGTACCCCTGAACTTCTTTTCTCAGAACACCTCTCAGAGTTTGTGGTATGAAGTTTCTGACCTTCTTTGACATGAACTTTGTCGTGAATGTTGCCATTCAGGTACTTGCATTGAGTGTTTACATTCTCAGGGGATGCTACGTCTCTTTGAGAGCCGGGAGCCAGTTTGCCTGTAACAGCCTGTCCTGAGGTAGAAGTGATGCAGCTGGATGACACAGTGTGTGGAACACCACTAGGGGTTTTCGGCATGTCAGACTGAGATGCTTCGGTTTCTTCTTTGTTTTGATTAACTGCATCCATTTTCTTGCTCAGAAGATTGTTTAGTAGTTTCTCCCTCAGTTCCTTTTCTTTTCTCTGCAACCCCAGTGCTCTCTCTTTCTCTTCTTCCACACGTTTGAGCTCAGCCTCCTGGAGCCTTCGTCTCTCCTCTAGCTGCTGAAGACGAATCTTTTCTTCATTATGCTCTTGTTCCAAAAGCTTTACTGTCTGAAAGATAGTCAAAGGGAAGGTAAGAGTGAACAAAAAAATATTTATATACCTGTTCATCCTTCCGAGTTATACCATAACACAAAAGCAGCGATGTGGCAAGAAAATAAAATCTAACAAACAAAACTTAACCATCCCAACATAAAATGGTTGTTTCCCTCTTAAAGGGAAAAAAACCAAAACGAACCAACCAAACCCACTAACACACAACTGTTGTAAGGTAAAACACTAGTATTAGTCCGCAAACTCTTTTGAGTGTTAATTTCTCCTAGCCATTTCACAAGGCAAAAACAAAGCTCGGTCTTTACAGCCCCTTAATATGACGAGTAACACACAAGCTAGAACAACATGTGAAATTTGAAGCATTAGAATACATTTATCAGGGTTAACACTTGAAGGTTCCATTCAAATTTAAAACATGAATTTCTCTTAGATGACTGCAATCTGTAGTTCATAGATGACTTTACAATGAAAAGCATAAAAATGAGCAAATACTTGAAGACACACATATTATGCAGAAACTGATTCTCATTTTGTCAACCACTTTAGAAACTCATGATACTGGAAATGACTGTTCAAACGTTTTTTTTTTTCCCCTGACCCAGACAAATGGCTTAGTGTAGATCTCAAAATTCTGGGAGTGAAAGAAACACTGCTCTATTTTGTCAGACAATCTTTCTATTTCACAGCTGCAAAGTTACAAAGCCTGCAAGAAGTATTTCTCCCTTCTCCTAGCATGTAACTGACCACATAGCATTGTATGAGTTCAGATACACTCCTGAGGTACACTGGCATCAAGGAAAAAAAGAAAAAAACAAAAAACCAACTGTGCTTTACCACACAGTTTTTCATTTCTACAGAAAATACTTAACATGCATTACATTATACCCTAACATGACTTTATCCAAGCCTTAAGCACATCTTAAACATCCTGTTTCAGTGGAAAATAACAATACTGTCAGAGAGACAGGCTCTAACATTCAAAACCTTAGCTGACAGTACATGTCCTACAGAAAAGTCATTGCACATTTTCAAACATCAAACTATGAAAGCTCATTCTCTGAAACTGCAAAGAATAGTTAATGGAACTACTGAAAGTCAGATGGGAAACAGCATCAAAACTGGAATTAGAAATAAAGAGTCTTGCATCTTATCCTCTGTGTTTAGTTCACTTTATCATGCTTACACATTCTTTTACTGGACTTAAGAGCAAGCCTGGCAATTAGTTTACAGGTAAAAAATGCTATTCAGGACTACAGGTTCAAGTTCACTCTTCTAATTATCTATATGTGCATATTTTACCAGAGGAGAAATATTGTTTCATTGCACTTTTTGGAATTTTTGGTCTAAGGAATAGCATCTGGAGAGGTACTAAATCTGTTGTTTAACGAACAGTGCTCCACACCTGCTCTCAAGTCAGTAAAAGGCTTTATTCTGCTGGGTTCTTCATTAGCTTCTGAAAAAAAATATTGAAGGTACCTTTGCCCTGCTTAGCAGTTCTGCAATTAGTCTAATGGACTGAAGATTTCTCTGAGCTAACAGAAGCTTCCTTTCTTCCAACTTTATCTTCTCCTGAAGTTTTTTCTGTTCTTCAGCTTGAAGCTTTTCAAGTTGCTTTTTGTTTCGTCGAACTTCACGATCTTTCTGTTTCTGTTCTCTCTTTCGCAACTTTTCTTCTCTTTTTCTCTCTCTCTCATATTCTTCAAGCTCTCTCTGCTTCCTAAAAAGAGATTAATATTTTTACCTTATCTAGGGCAGGTACAATTTTAGACTCCTACTCTATGTAAAAATATGTTTTGTGCTTTGAGTAAATTTGTTTCTAAGTAAGTCTTTTTGATTACTGAAAAACAGAAGTAGGAAACAGTGAACATTTTAACCATTAGTTGTGACAGCAAACAATCATCAGCCTGTCAATATTTAAAAACAAATTGGAATCCAAACATAAAACATGGCTACACAAAAACTTATTTTTTTTAAACCAATTGGACCAGAGACAATAACAATGCATTGCACAGCTGGGCAGTAAATCAGCATAGTGAGAAGAAAACTACCAAGCCAATTAATATGTGCAGGGGTTGGTGGGTTTTATTTCAGTCATTAGGACAAAATGGTAGCTTATGTAAAAGGCCAAGGGTTTCCAAGATCAGGTCTAACGACATGATTTTTAGGAAATTGAGTATTTTGCTGATTTAATATTTTGAACTGAACATAAGCATTAGTGACAATCTAAACAACCTTACAGTTTCAGAAATTAGTATCTAAACATTGAGCAATGAGAATTTATATATATCAAGGCAAATGGACACCATACAACCTCTGAAACAATTTGCTCCATTTTTGTTTTATATTCTGAATAGCTGTCTCATGACATTTGCACCCCTATACATTTTCTTAAAACGTCACTGTTAAGATATGCTTGTATCCATCTCTTTCCTGGAAAAATAATGATGTTAAGAACAAATGAGCTTTATAATATCAAAGTTACTTGGTAGTAGAACTAGTGCATTATTTGCTGTTCTCCATTTACAACGCACATTTTTCCATCAGACAGCTCTTGGAATTAAAGTTCAAGGGGGGAAAAAAAAAAAAAAAAGGTGTAAAACACTCCTCTTCAAATCTCATAATCCCTGAACCCTATTTCCTCAAAAGGACCACAATATTCTCACTCAGTTTTAAGTACTTCACTTTAGCTACAGGAGTAGAACTTCGAAAGCAAACTTGTATTTAGTTATTTTCTATCTATTGATGGTCATATGAAGAAGCAACTAGTTTTGTTATGCCTGGTTGTTAAAAATATAACTGACCAGTAAGAGATAAATACCTTTCTTCCTCTTTTTGTTTTTCCTCAGCTTCTTTCTCTTTACGTTTTTGTTCTTCTCTCTGTTTTTCAAGCTCTTGAAGCTTTTGCCTTTCAAGCTGACGCTTCTTAATTGATGCATCACTGAGGTGTTTTGTTGAGTCAAAAGAAACCTTTGCAGGATACAATTGAAAACAGTTTTAAGTAGACAAAAAAAAAAAAAAGAAGTCACTGACAACCTACACAATCCCAAAAAATTTTAACCTAGCACAAAGGTATCCAGACAGCAGTGTAAGTAAAGCCAGAAATATAAAACCTTTTTCAAAACGAAGGGAACTTCTCCATGTGCCCAGAGCAAGCACCAGAGTACTATAACCAGGTAACTGCAAACTCAGTGCCTGCACACTAGCACCGACAGCTACCAGTTTACACTTTTGTGTGTGTATGACACCCAAAAGTAAACCCTAGTGTGGTTTAGGCCCTGACTGTCCAATGTTTTCAACCTGTCAGAACAGGAACATACAGAACTCTTTCAACTCATGTATGCTGTTAAGGACTGTACAGCACTAAGTAGAAATAGGTCTAAATAAAGGCCTCTCTTTCTGTCTAAAACTGTGATCCTTAAGTTCAGCAGAAGAAATGGTTCTACAACATTCAGCACCTCGTTTAAGCAAGTGCCTTGTACCAATTCTGACACCAAGATTCCCAAATTGAGGAACATGGGGCTGAAGCTCCAGGTTTGAGACTGGGAAGGCAAGACAAAAGGAAGTTACACGCTTCTGAGCCATAAGACCTGGGAAAACGCTCAGCTTCCAGGACATATATGAGCACAACTTGGCCATATCCAGCTGCATGCTGGAACAGGACATGAGCAGACATCACAAGCCTGGTGTCCTAATCTCCCATTCTAGATACCACCTGTGTGCCTGCAGGCAGGCAGTGGTCTGTAACACATTCCCTGAGGCCCACCGTCATTTACCATGGGGCAGAGAACAAGGAGCACATACTTTGCAGTTTAATTCACCCAGGCTCTATGTAAAATGGTGTTTCACTAACAAACTAGAACAACAGACAGGTAGAAACATAAAAGGTGTTGTGACCTTGTATAAAGAGATCTGTTCTGACAGAACAGTCGCAAACACAGCCCTCTCTCTTTCCTATCAATCCCCAGGGCAGCTGCCAGGAAGGCGTGCTTCCTCTTGCACTGCCAAACTAAATTTGGGAACCCTGATCCCCTGCATGTAAGTGACAGTTTGAATTTCACATCCCCTTGAAAACTTTGAGGGTCAAGGTACAAATGGCTTCTATACTCCAACTGACAAACTTTGATAACATGATAAAAGATTACAGTATTCTACTTATACTGACTAAACTACAACTTGAGTAAATATTTGCCTGTTCCCACATTACACAAAAGAATACTCAAGCTTTTTCCTGAAATAAACTTTCTGATTTGATGACTGACTACTGACCATACCGAAATACATCCGCAAACATTTCACTCAACTGGTATGTATGTACACAGACCACATCCAAACATATCAGAGGAAGTTTTCTTCAGGCCATGCTCTCATAGATACTACATCTGAACAGAACGTCTTGTTCTCTCCTGTCATAGTTGCATTTTCTAAGACAATGAGGTTACAGAAAAAAAGGTCTGGAAAACTCAGTATGTAAGTATTATGAATTAAGCATACTGCATTCACAGGAAACTGTGCTGTGGAGTATCCTTATGGTTTAAATTTTTGTGGGGCCCTTCCGTATGTGAAGAACACTAATGATGAACTGTGTATTCCCCAGGCTGTACAGGCCACATACTATTAAACTTCACAGTTCTCACACTTGTCTGGTAGACCTCATTATCAATGCAGGGACCAAATATAGAGGCTGGGAAATTTTCCCTAATAATTTCTATTTGTAGTGAGCACAAGAGAAGACAATGAACTTTTAAGTCAGCCTTCTGGTGAAGTATGTCTGAACTTGTTCAGAACTAGAATTTTAAGTGAAATAACAAGATTTATAAATACATATTACTTTCTAAAAACTATTTAGCAGGTCATGTTCATATACTTAGTCCTTCCATCAAGCAGTTCTCATTTCTGGACCTGTCTTGCTAAAAAACAAAAGCAAAACCCCACCCACTTTGTTCATATAATCAAACACCACATTTTTATTCCATCATTTTCCTTTAAAAATTCTGTTATGGCTGTTCCATAAAACTACATTAGCGCTGTTCATGTCACCTGTTGCCATCACTACAGTACATCGATGTAGGTTTTAAGCACTAGGGAAATAAAATTTAGTTGTACTTGGTCTTTCACATGGGTTCCCATAAAAAAAGCCTACAGTTTCTCACCTTTATATTGCAAGCCACTGCTTTGCCATCATCACCTTTATGCATCAGCTTCATCCCTCGCAGGGCATTCATGGCCTTAATGAAACCTGCATACTCTCGATACTGAACATAAGCTTCAAAATTTAAATGGCCTCCAAAACTGAAAGTGTGAAAATTTCTGCCAGTCATTTCTTCTCTGTAAGGGTCCAGCATGGGTATGTCCACATTACGGATTTCTCCAAATTTCTTGAAAACTTTTATGAGGACTTCTTCACTTGGCTTTTCGGAGCCAGAGTCCTTTGCTGCAAACCACTTACAAGGTAAGCCCTCTAAATGAATAGTATCTGGCCTTTCCCCTGGCAAAGTTTCATTCATATCTTTCGCATCACGGAAAAACGAGTCCCAGTCATGTCTGGTAGGAAAGTCAATCTTGTATTCTGCAGCACGGACTTTTAAAATGTCAGAGAAGCCACTCAGCTTTATTGTTTTGCCATCAAGGCATGCCAGAAAAGACTTAACCAAACTTTTGTTTTCAACCTCTCCTTCAAACCGGATGAAATCCATCGTGCTTTTAGAAATCCGCAGAGTGGAAAACTGATGAGTTTGCACCATCCCTTTCAATCTTTCCATCACTTCCCAGTTCGAAATGGATTTTCCCGGTTGTTTCAGCTGAGGAAGAGCCACACTGATGGTCATTTTTGTAATGGGTTTAAGGTATAACCCACAGGGAGCACAGAGCTCTACAGCTTCTGATGTATCATGAACTATTGTTGCAGCAGCCATAACACAGAAAAAGCATAGGATAAAAAAATAAAAGATGCAAGTTTAAGTTGCAGGCCAACAGTAGTCAAATAAAACAGCCCTCATCCATATATAATTGAATTCTTTGGCCATTTAACCATTCCCAAGTTAAAACAACGTCTCTTAACACAAGAGTCAATTAGAGAGTTAAAACCAAGTAGTACAAACATCTTAAATTACTTTATAACCACTAGGGCCTATAAGGAATTAAACCTCAGTAAGGCCTCAGAAGAAAAACCAAGAAGCTGATGACAATCTTAGGAATACATGAAGCTGGTATGTGATGGCTCAGAAAGCAGCTACCCTTTCTCAGGAAGGAAGGGGCCTGGCAGAGCGATATCACACCACTTTGAAGTCTACTTAACAACCAGCGAACCCCTGCAGGCTAGCGCCGAGGCAGGTCCGACGTTCTCCAGCAGAAAGTCTGAGGAGGTGCCTGCAACGAGACAAGAACATCCCTTTTACTTAAAAGCCCGAAGCCCCACCGCCCTCCCTCCGAGCAGCGCTGAGCAGCCTCAGCACTACAAGGCGGGG